TTAAACACTACCCTAGGAGTCTGAAAGTCTTCGTTTAGAAGAATAATGATGCCTCATGGTGAAAGCCAAGTTCATTCGGTGGTCACGAGGCTGATTCCTTTTCTGACAGTAAGATCAACCGTTAATTTAGGTACATGGAATGCTCGTACAATGTGGAAGATCAGAAGAGTAATCGAAATCGCAGCGGAAATGAAAAGATGCTTGGAATCAGTGAAACATTGGACGCTGGTTGGACAATCAAGACTAGCTTCAGGAGAGCTGTTGTCATACTTCGGCCATGAAAGAGGAAATGCTCCATATACACAAGGAGTTACACTGTTACTTTGATGAGTAAATGCTTAGTATCTGTCTGGTAATATTCTCAGCAAAACATCTTCCGTTTAAAAGATCAATGATTTCCACTGACTATAAGCATGTTCTTTTGGAAATTAGAATTCTCTTGATTTCTTCTGACATTTCTGTACGGAATGGAATGATAGCTGTATTCTTCTATTCCCTCAGTATATACTCTTATTTGATTTTCCTATCATTTGTAACAATATTCTGTAGAAACTCTCGGGCAATCATTTACTTTAAGTGTAGACAACAATATTAAAATCAATTTCATCTTTTACTTTAATAGGAATAATATCTTGAATGAATCAATGTTTGATCACTATTGAAAACCTATAAGCACTGGATGACCGTCTTATTCTAGTATGAGGCTCCTCAGCGGTGCATATTCGCGACCCTGCACAGGGACTCGAACCCAGGACGTTATGTCTCGGTAAGAATTTCTAAGTCAATTGTATAAGAATTAGATATAAAATTACAGAACAGTTATCTTCAATTAAATTCATGGATTATCAAAAATTACTTAAATCATATACTTAGGATTAGAGATTTAAATTTACACACTACAATAGTCATCATAAGAACTCATTTATACCTTTTATTTCAACCATAGCAACAGATAACCAATTGGATGATATATATATATATATATATATATATATATATATATATATATATATATATATATACACTTTAACACCTGGTGGTTGGCTACAATATGGAATACAAACTGGTATTTATCCAGTCTTTTTACTATCGATAATACCGCCGAAACCTTTTTTTGGGTCTGAAAATATGTTTGATGGAAGAACTTTCCGTATAATCTTCAACAGTTTTATTCGTCCCCATTTAGAGTACGGAAAGATAGCATTTCCTCCCTCACTCCAAAAGGACAAGGACACTCTGGGGCGTATCCAACGGCGAGCCACGAAATCAGTTCGGGGACTCAAATTCAAACTTTATGAAGAGCACCTCCAATCACCTAACCTTTACCCATTGGAGTATAGGCGTCTTATAGGTGACCTTCTGATAGCTTACAGTATCCTTAACATTTCTGAACATCATCTTAAACACCTACTTAAGCTTAGTCCCAATACTAACCTAAGGGGTAACACCCAGAAATTGGAAATACAACATAGCGGAACGGACTGTAGACATAACTTCTACTCCATAAGAGTTGTCAAATGCTGGGATTTGCTGCTGACTGAACTAGTCCAAGCAACTTTCTAGGAGTCCTTTATGAGGAAACTTGACCTGTTCTTAAGGACTAAGGATAACATCTTATTATGATTTGCCAATTTCTTTTTTCCTCTATTATCGTTAATATACCTAGGTTCCTGCCGGACGTATTGGTGATCCACCGCTACTAGACACGGAAGCCTGTTAAGCGAAAGCTTCTTCTATTCCGTCCACAACGATCTAAACCATTTATGCAATTGTCTGAAAATAAAAGCTATATCTATCCTCAATGCAGATGTATCTTTTAGTGAGGAAAGATTTTTCAGTTAGCGAAAACAGTTTGAAGAATGACTTACTATTTAAGATCTATAAAATGTTTCTGAATGTATCCCCTATCGTTGTTCGTATACAAATTCTCTACTAGAAGCTAAATCAAAGTACCGAAAGAGTAATAAACGATGGTCTGAATGATGTAATTTTGGTATAAGACGGTGCTTGAATCAATGGAGCTAGGTGACTTATATCGGGTTAAAATTTTTTTACCAACTATAGCATAACCAAGATAGTTGATTGAAGTAAGTTGAAACTAACACTTGAATAGATGTATGGCCATACATTTGTATCACAAAAGTGTTTAAATAACCTTAACAGACGTTCATAGTGCAACTCTTTATTTTCAACATACACTAGATCCCAGCAGAGGACGAAATCAAGAAGAAGCACTGGAAGTGGATATAACACACGATGAGAAAATCACCCAACTGTGTCTCAAGGTAAGCCATAAATTAGAATCCTCAAGGTCAAAGGGGGAGAGGAAGACCAAAGAACACATTACACCGAGAAATGAAGATAGACATTGGAAGAATGAACAACTTTCGGATAGAACTAGAAAGGAAGGTCCATGACAGAGTGGGTTGAAGAATGTTGGTTGGTGGCCTATGATCCATTGCGAATAACGGGCCTAAGTAAGTAAGTAAGTCATTTAAAACTTACAAACAATGCAAACATTGGTATCACTAGCCCTTAGTTACACATTATTAATACAGTTAGTACTATATTAAGGAAAGAATAAGGCAGTTGTGTTAGTGCCCCTTCCTTCCAAGTGATTGCAAGCTATCCATGTTTTGGTTAAAGGGGTTAAGATTGCTGAGCGTACGCATTTCTTTATACACTAATTCCAACTAAGTCGTCCGACTGCATTACTCCCATTGTGACTATGTCAAAGGCGAATAGTAAAACACCTAGGAATTGACGCAGAACCATTGAGAGACTAACAGCATAAATGTGTAGATAGCTGTTCATTTCCAATATGAGACTCAACAACATTGTATATCGATGCTTCTATCAGAGATCGAACCCAGGATTTCAAAGTAATGGTCGTATTATTGGAAATTAACTGAAATCAAATATAAGCCATCAAAATTTAATTTAATATCTCGATACGAAACATACATGTTGTGGTTCTAATCGTTGATAGGAGGTCATATTGTAGTGAACGGGAACATCAGTGGAGACAATCAAATGTACTTTAACGTAACATTACATAATATCTTGGTGAAATCTGAGAACCATACAGTAATACTTCATTTGCAGGACTTTGTTGTTCTTTCGTCTCTGTACTAATCACTCTATGTTCTCGTTTTGTTCTCAACTTTCTGTTACCAGGTATTTCATTGTGATTGGTGATATATACTACTTATATTTGTCAACATCAGTAGCACACACCACAATAATACAATACAATTTTATTTTGCCTACTTCATCTTCGACTTCTTGGTTGAATTTTGTTGAATATCTAGCTTATTTCAGGAGAAGTAGTAATTTATATATATCATAGTGAAGATTGAATTATAGGTAACTTCTGAGAACTGTTAATGGACAAATAATCTATCTCTACCAGCAACAGCCTACTATGGGAGGAAACAAACCAGCTTCCAGATGAAGAGGGAATTCGAAGAAGATGACAGAAATGGATAGGACATACATTATGGAAACCACCATACTGCATCACGAGGCAAGACTCAACTTAGAATCCTGAAGAGAAGCGGAAAAGAGGAAGGTTGAAGAACACATGACGTCGTGAAATATAAGCAGATATGGGAAGGATGAATAAAAACTGGAAAAAAGTGTAAAGGATTGTCCAGGACAGGTTTGGATGGAGAGTGCTGGTGGACCGCCCGTGCTCCTCCACGAAAAGTAAGAGGCGTAAGTAAAAGTAACTAAAACTACTCAGTAGCTAGATTATATATATCTATATTCCTCTTATGATAAGCTTCTTTTTGACGTATAGAATATTATTATACGATTAACTGGTCCTAAATTAAATTCAATTTATTGATTACGGTCTCTCATGTTCACAGCCACATTTGGCTTGATCTTGTACAAATGTTATTTCTTATCTTCTGATGTGATATCTGTTTAGCTGGTTTATAAACCAAGTATGTTTAAAATACATGATTCGCATAGTGGAAGCTGTTATTGGTGTTCTGGACTCAACTAAACGAGCTAGGAGAACAAAGGACTAATAAAGACTCTAGGCTGCTCATACTGGCCGAACCTCATTGATTTTATAAGTTGTACTTCGATCGGCAAATGAATCACGTGGTAACTAGCCGGGATTAAGTAACCAGATTATATTTGTTTGCATTTCTTTGATTGTAATCCGCCATTTAATCCGTTAACAACTATTGTATGATTTACTATTGTTAATTACAGTCTCTCATACTCATATACACATTTGGCTTGATTTTGTATAGTTTTCATTTTTCATTATATGATGTGATACAATCTGGGCTTCTTGTATGTAAATTATGTATGTTTATGATGTAATATTCATACAGTGGAGGCTGCTCATTGTGTTCTCAACTCTACGAGCATGACAAAATGAGAAGCTGCTGTATCGAAGATCAAAAGGAGTTTAGAGTAGACTGAAGGTGAATTATGCTGGTCGGCGTGTCCTTGGTTGGCTCAGGGACAATGTCGTAGAAATTGATATTTTGATAGGTAGTTTTACTACTTGATATTTGACAGGATCATAAGTCATAACATTTACCATTGAGTTACTCATGCATAAAGTTTCTCATTTTAATCGAGACCATGTTTCGATCAATGTTAGATCACCATTGAAAAAATGGAGCCACTGGACGGCCGTTTCGTCTCAGTGTGGGACTCCTCAGAGGTGCGTATCCACGAAGTCGCACGCAAGATCCGAATTCAGGACCTTCGGTTGCGCATGCTAACGCCTAATCTCTATACCACTGAGCTGACATTCAAAGGTGCTAACGTCTAATTTCAATCAATTCACAATATTGAGTGACCACCTATCGTTGTCTTCAAAGGATTTCTGCCCCATTTCGTTTGGTTATGAAAATGCTGAAAGGAAAATAAAATAGAATTTGATACATAAAAATATAGTAATGAAAAGAATACAACTGAACGTATTGAGTGTGTATTGATAAATTTTATAACCATTATCCCATGAATTGTTACTCAGTAATGATGCATTCAATAACTGTTCAGTCAAAATCACAGAACTAGTGTGAAATGAACTGAGTTCAACAGAAATCTGGAATGAGAAACATCCATCAATTTATTGTTAAGAAGAAACCAATTCAAACGGATTTACTCGAAACATCATTATTCCAGTTGAATTGATGGAAATTGTAAAGTTCTCTGTCAATCCAACATCTTTGAATCTATCACCAGTGAATACATCCAGTAATTCGAACTTATCTCCTGATATTGTATACATTTGTGATTTGAATTCATCAAGATTTGTGCTGAAAGTAATTGGTGCTCCATCAACCTTTGTGTAGATGCAAGCTATTGCCCAACCAATTGGACAATCATCTAATTTTCGTATCCATAACTGTATGAACAGATGAATGGATGGAAAACGTTTGTTATGATTCAGTACACTGGTAAGTAAAAATTATTTCAACGACATGTTGTGACCTAGTCGAAGAATAAGTAATAGAAAAAAATGCTTGCCTTATTGAATATTTGATGTCGTACAATTTGGAATCTTTTATAACGCTCGGTTGTAGTCTAACCTAAAGCCTGTATATTGTTTTTCACTGTAACCCTGTTAGATATTAGGTTAAATATAAATGCTAACCCTTCACTTGATTCGTGTTTTTGAATCGAAACAATGATCAATGTATACTTCCGTTAGTACTCAGTGACTGCACTTGGCAGCTGCAATAATGAAACTGGATAGGTAGTGATTAGGTATATTAAGGAATGTACACTGTCGGAACTAAGATACTGAGATCAAATATTTCGTCCATAATGTTCGTTTCCATCCTTTTATATTATTATATTTAAAATACAAGAGCTACATTATACTGTTCTGTCATTCAACTCGCATAGTGAGTTATATTGTGTATTCAAATATCTGATGAATTATTGAAAATTGGTTTTCGTCGTTGAAAAATTCATTCAAGATCCTATGACAGAAAGAAAACTATCTCAACACTTATGTATAAGAATTCTAATCTAATCCAATCAACTCACTTGTACATCATTTCGTGATTTGACGAATTCCGCCTGATGTCCACCTCTATCCTGATCTATAGCCAATAAATGTTTATTGCGTAACAGAGATGCACTGAATTGATCCACGTTATCCATGTCAGCTGACATCAGTAGTGGGGCAGCAAACATACACCACATGCCTATATGAACTCTCTTTTGATCATCCGAAAGTCCGTTGTATCCTAAGACTAACATATCGGGATCGTTCCAGTGTCCGGGACCAGCCAATTTCGGGAAAACATCGTTGCGAAGTTTATATCTATTCATAATACCGATTATAGATTGCCAGTTGTTTTGCACGTTGGACGACACTCGCCACAAATTACAACTATCCTGTAATTTTTTCCAATCAGTCATATGGGGATTTGAAAGCCAATATCTATATGCTGGATAAGTACACAAAAGCATTACAGGCCTGCCAGTTGCATTAAGTAATCTGCTAAATTTTTCAAAACCATCTTGTGCAGTATTCTCAGCAGAGTAGCAGGCATGCATCTTTACATAATCTACTCCCCAGTCGGCCACTGTTTTTGCATCCAATTCCAAATGATTTATGCTTCCTGGATAACCAGAACATGTCATGTTCCCGTAACCAAGAGTTATACCGAGTGAAAGATTTTTGGAGTGCAGATATTCTGCAATGCATTTAATACCCTGGAACAGAAGTATATTTTTGAGATATGAATATATATGAGTTATAAAAGCAGCACACAGTAGAAGCTGACCAAGTTGAAATCAAATGGAAAATAATCCATAAATAACCACATTTACTGCAGCACATTGATTTATACTAAGGAAAGCTATGACATGTCCTTCATGATTAGTACAGTGATGCCGTGAATCACATTGGAAAATCATTACTGAAAAAGAGAATTCTAAATGATTAATTTATGGTTGATATAATTTTAAATTGTTCAAACAGAATACATAATTTGTGGACAATTTATATCAAATGATATAGATCAACTCACGCTCGGAAATCTTGAAGGATCTGCCATAATGCTATTCGTCTTTGAATCACGTTGTTTTGATAACCAACAATCATCAAGTACCACATATTTATAACCCAAATCTCGCCAACCATCCGATACCAATTTATCAGCTGTTCGTTTGATTGCATTCTCACCAAGACAGTTGTTTGGATACCTCTGGCAATTCAACCGACAGCCAAGATGTTTCAATGTGTTCCATCCCATTGGTGGTGTTCTAGCCAACCCATTGTCAAGACACATCACACAATTCAGAGTGAAGATGACTACTCCCGAAACTATCGTTAGCACTGTATACATGTTAGCTGAATAGTAAAAATGATGAGTTATTAAGTAACAAATGATTGAAGTGTAATTTCATTGAGGTGTATATTAATGCCAAACATCGTTTTATCGGAGCATAATCAACACAATTACATCATCAAAATAATTTACTTTGGATGTGAGCTCTTACGACATGCATAAGATTGTCGTATGTCATTCAGTTCACAAGGTTGAGAATCCGAATCTAGAATTTATATACGCATAAACTACACTAATGATCTTTCGGAACATAATCTTACGGTGAACTTAGAATGTGTCAGTTAAATACTACTATGAATGGAGAAGTACAAAGCGTATATTCGCTTAGTATTTGGAGTTGAACCAGTCAGTGAAATATTTATCATTAGATTATACAGAACAGTTCACAGAACATTGAATTGAAGAACCATATATCTAGTATTTACCGTTACCTGTTCCTCCAAGGGCGATGGGACAGTGCATGACGGTATTATTGTGTATTAGTTTCAAAGAGAATTATATGCTATGTGCATGCAAACTTTTTACACTAATGAAGTGATCCGGTTTGGTTTTGCCATTCATGGATATACTACCTGGCATACACCTGGCCTTGTACTGGACTTTATGTACGCTGTCTTAGCGGTAAATATCTTAGGTTGCAGCGTTTATCATTAGTTCTATGCATTTGGGAAACCAATTTATAGGATTATCGGTGTACAAGTTTGAGTGAAAATAAGCGATCCTACAGAACAAGCAATTTGAATGAACTATTGTGAAACATGAAGAGGATTTATTGGAAAAAATATTCTTCTTTCGTGCATATGTGTTTCCATTCATCCATCAGCCGTTGTGTTTCTGTTTATCAATCAAACCAATGAATACGTGAAAGAAGAATGAAATAAATGAACTTCATCTTCGTTTACTCTATAAATGTACAACAACAAGGTAAGTGAATTTATGGGAGAGTAATGTAATTAATTTAAAATTATGTCGTTATGGGCTACCTCTGCATTGCTAATGCTTACATGTGTTATTAACTGAAGGGGGAATGAGCACGAGGAAAACTTCCAGGAAATTGTGTCTATCGATTCATTAATATCAGAAGACATTTTAAACAATGGTTTATGAGTTGGTTAACAGAAGTTAACGAATGTTGATATATCATTTACTCTGAATGAAAAACTCAACAGTCTAAAATTACTTGAAACTACTCTATAGGCGATGTAGTCATGATCCACTCTTTATCAGAAAGGGAAAGATCAAAGCTCAGACACGAAGGTTCAGGAGATCGAGTTAATTTTGAGTAACCAGCTGAATGGAAGGTGAGTAAAATAGCATGAGTTAAAAGGACAGACAGGAAGTTAACATATTATCAATTAATAGACAAGTGAAAAATTTTCGTTCAAACATGCATAAGATTATACTCTTCCATTTTTATCAAAAATTGTATCCAGCTGTTGAATGCATACTTCGTCAAACTAACTATACATAATTCACTCATTAAACGATTATTTATGTTTTCATAATGATGTAATCAGGATTTCGTGAAACATCATAATGTAATCATCTCAACAGAATGATGCTGAATAATGCCATAAAACTAACGGCAACATGGTAATCACATACTAAGTATGTTTAGTGGACTACAAATATACAGTGTCTTATAGTGACCTCTTCTGTTACAAGTATTAACATTCATGTGTAAATGAAAAATGTGGAGTAAACTTTGAAGACAAGCAACAAAACAGTTCACATATACATCTTGTGAAACAATTACGCATCAATACTTACATTTTATTTGATTTATCTAGTTGGCTGAATTAAGAACTGACTCGTATTTATACTCTACAAACTAGTCCATACTAACATTGACTGTCCGTCTTTACATAACCTCATTAGGACAAAAACAGAATATAATGGGTCGTACCATTATTCTTTATAATAGTCATGTGTTTGGGACTAATGGATTATGTATATTGTGTTGTGTGTTTTGTTGTGGGGATTATGCCTTGAGATATGTAGTGTTACGTTGGTATGTGTGCGTCTGAAGGAGTAAATATTATTTTTCAGAACGATTTGTGTATGACATTGATTTTTGTGTTCTAATCAATCTACTTGCATAGAATTAAACATTTGATAGGCTGAACATTGTCTCGTTTAATCTATGATGACATTCAACACAATTTATTTAACAATTTAAAATCATCGAGCATCATAGAAAGCCATATCAGCTTGTCATTTTTAACCGGTATGGGATTGAAATCAGTGAAGAAGATTTGTAGGTTCGATGGATTACCGTGATTGAGTTTCTCTGTTTTCAGACGATGTGGTTTGATCTTGAAGCGTGTATTGTGGTTGCATGGATCGTCATCAAGATAACGAACCATAAATTCTGTTCATACATTGATGATTACACGGAATTAGAGACCGATTGTGATATAAGTTAAATGAAACAATACTTTGTTCAATTTAAATCGCCCATGCTTACAAGTTGCAAAACTTATGACCGATTGCAAACTATCTAGTCTAAGGAGAGCACTGTTAAGCAGCGTATAAGCGGAAGAAAGTGTCATCAAGTCTTCGTTCCACTTTGATCGATTAGTGATCTAAATAAAGTTAACTTGATTGATACATCCAAGCTCTTGTAGTATCAACACATTCAATCGAGTTCATTCGATCAATTTAAAAACCTGATTACCTTATATCAGGAGTAAAGCTTTACGGTTAACCAAAACACTAATGAATGAAAACCACAAACAGAAACATTTACAATAATGAATCATGACTTCAACAATGTAGCTTCAAACTACATATACGACAAAACGATTAACGGAATAGAAGTCTATGGTCATTTAAAACAAGCTTATTTCTGAACGATTTAATAGGCATTTCAAAAAATTCCAGAAGCTTCACTAAAACTTGACGAAACACTTCCCTATTTGAAATTGTCATCTGGATGTACGCTCCTCCTGGATTTCAGAACTACTCACTATCCATTTTGTTTATGGTGTTTGTGGCTTATGTCAACATTGAGACAATCTGAACAGGATGCACATATGACCATAAGAGATTGATCAATTTTAATCCTAAACATCAATGAGAAGTTTCAAACAAACAATGCATAAATAAATTAGAACATCACTCTATTGCTATCAGGATTCATTAGCTAAGTGGATGACGCGATGGTGTTTGAAGCGAACAGCAATGGGTTTGAGTAGTAGAGTATACATATAATCTGGGGCGTAGGTACATTCATCTGATGAGTCCTAAATAGGAAGAGACGCACATCCTGGAATTTTCCTCTACCCACCACTAGTCTGCTGATTTTCAAGAGACTTATTAACCATGTTATGACACTTAATCACTGGTGTTTCACTTTCGAATTCCATGTCGAATGTGGAGTAGAAGTAGGTGACAGTTGTGAATGTTGTTTGTTCATAATAAAAGCATGACCATAATTGAGCTTTACTCATTCCGGTCCAAAAAGAATTCCCAGGAAAAGCCTAAGAACATTGTGCCCAATCAGCTTACACCATATAGGTTAAGGATACTTAATCTAATTAGGATCTTTTGTTTTAATTTCGCCTAAAATTACTGCTCACATTATGATAATTAGAAGTAATTGAATTATAGTATGAACTAAGAATCCCAGGGATAACGCGATTGAATCAAGAGGTACTACACAAGCACTAACGAATGTACTGTATTTAGAATTCGAAATCAAACATTCAACAAGTACAAAGGAGTCATTAGTGCATTCAAACACCACACACATGTGATATAGTCAGCAAGATAATGATAATACATAGGTGTAAATACATTGAATGAATATTTTACGGAGCTAGATCATGCCCTTATTTCTTCCACCAGTCAATAGTATTTTTACATGATATAGCTCCTCCGTTTATTTCTCCCACTTGTATGTGTTCGTACCTATTCTTAAAAAGCCAGTTGCGTTGGACGCACAACCAAGCAAACACATCACTTTGTTGTGAACATCACCTATCCTAGCTGATTGAGGGAAAGGAAAAAGTAATATACACTCCGTTTTGTCACATTCCATAAGCGATGGCTATCATATCGATAACAATCATCAAACGGCCGAACTGGAGCTAGATGCACAATCGGTGGTGGGATGGAGGGTGGTCACTGAAAGCCAACTGGGAAGAAATATTTTTCTGCTCAACTTGTATTTCTAAAACACCGTAGGCTTATTACGACCTCTATCGCAGCTACTATACACGTGTCGTCTCTGGTAGATTTCACTGTTTGTACTTGACAGCTATGGAACTCTGTAGTTTCCACGGTGCAAAGTTGGAACCAGCACAAGGAAAATCAATTGATTCGCAAAAAATACATCATTTGATGTTGTCAGAACAACTTCTTGAAAATCATATCATTATTATATAAAATACATACATTTGTATAATAGGTTAGAACCATGTAATGACTAAGTAATGAACACTATGTACACAGAGAAACTAGCATGCAAAATGTTCACACAGAATAATGCCATATTTCTTAAAGTTTATAAAGTGTGAAGACTACCAATAGATTCGTAAATACGCTTATTTTCTGCAAATAAGTTAACCTCGAAATCCTCGGGTGCAACTTCCTGGACTAGCTTCGAGTGCATTGATAAGAGATAATCAATTGTATTAGTGTGCTTGCTTTATGCTTCATGTTCTAGCATTTCACGACCTCACTTCATCAAATGAATTTGACTATTAATTAAGCGACCGTTTATTTTACGTACTTACTTGACCACAATAACACCGATCTACAGTGATTCTCATTCCTACTTCACGCTTGCCAACTTCTCATTCCCTTCACCTTTCTGTGTACTACATTATATTACTTACTACTGCTGAGTAGTTCATGTGTGATTTGGATCACTTTCCATCACACAGCTTGCTCTTCGTCTTCTCACTATTACGAGAACCCACGAAATACAGTACTTTTACTATTGTGGGTGGAGCATAGGCCTTCCTTTCTAGTTCTATCTAATTGTTGTTCATTATTCTCACGTCTGTCTCCGTTCCTTGGCGTAATGTGTTTTTTTGTCTTTATCTCCTCTTTTGGTCTTGAGGATTCCATAAGAGGGTTTGCCTTGTGACCCGTTGGGTGCTTTCCTAAAGGTGTGTTCTATACAGTTCCGGCACTTCGTCCTGATTTCTTCCTCCGCTGGGATATGTTTTGTTCTCTACCACAGTGGGTTGCTGCTGATAATATCTGGACAATGGATCCGAAGTATTTTCTGTTGAAAACACTTGTATTTTCTGGATGATTGCTTTCGTAGTTGTTGAAGTTTCCACCCCATTTAGTATAACTGTCTTGATATTTGTATTAAAAATCCTGACTGGTGTTGGTTGCCAATTATTTCGATTTCCAGATGATTTTCAGTTGTAAATGTGCTGCTCTTACTTTGTCGATTCACGCCTTTACATCCACCGTGTTCATCAATCATGCTGCTCAGATATATAAAGGTTTTTACATCTTTCAAATCTTCTCCGTCAAGTGTGATTGGATTGTTGCATTTCGTGTTGCTTCCACTTTGTGTATGTTGAGACCTACTGCTGCCTAGGCTGCTGCTACACTGGTCGTCTTTTCTTGTATTTGTTGTTGCGTGTGAGATATAAGAACCAGATCATCTGCGAAGTCTAGATCGTCCAATTGCATCCTATATGCCCACTGTATCCTATTCTCCCCCCCAGAGGTTGACGTCTTCATGATCTAGTCGACAAACAGGAGAAATAAAAAGGATCGGAGCAAGCAACTTGACTGACATCGGTCATTACTTCGAACTAGTCTGTGAGCTATCCTTCATTCATGCTTTTGTAGTTTAGTCTATTATATGAATGACATTCTTACCTAATAACTGCAAGTGTTTTCTATCGACTACTTTAGTCCGACTAGAGGCGGATGATGGCTGTGACTTCCGAGATTTTAAGACGAATGTTATTTGACTGTAGATCGATGATCCTGAAAGAATTCCGTCTCTCTCCTAAACTCTAACAATAAACCCTCATGTGCTGTGTCACAGAAATATTCAGCAGTAACACTGCTGACGGCCTTTAATCCCATTGAACTGAAACCTATTGAGATATGTTCGTTGAATCAAACAAAGTCCCTACACTCTGTTCCACCAGTGTAGCTGCTTTGGTAGGTAGTTGTTAATTTCTGTACCGAGTTGCCGGTGAGAGGAAATGGTTTTCTGTCGATGTTTGATCGGTGTGAAGGGCACACTCTTTCACATGAGCTTGACATCAAATCATCTCAACTGCCGAAATTTGTCTACGTTTAGTTTTGTCAAGTCCGTCTTGTGGATCGGGGTCTGAATGCGCTTGGATCATATGATCATTGTTGTTGAAGTATAGTTGCCGTCTATCGTATCATGAAACTTCATCACAAAGCCAGTACTTACTTGTATTCATGAAGATAAATGAAAAGGATGAAGGCCGACGAACAAACTGCATCGAGTATTGAAAGCAGACATGAGTAAGATGAATAGTAACTGGAAAAAACCGGCAAAAACTGCTCATGCTGTTGAGTGGTCCATGCCCTACGACGAGGTTTAACACTATCATTTTATGCGTGCTAGTATACTTGATCATGTCAGTCGATTCCCTTTAACCATTACGCATTATCATGTATTCAGCTAATTCCCAAAGTGAGAGTGACATCATTTGGGAATAATACCTGTTACAATTGTTGTCGTATATTCTGTGCAGATTAACATTTTTGAAGGTAGACATAGAAAAACACATAAATGTTATGAAGAAGGACTGTTATTGTAAGCTTTTCTCAACATTTCAATAGTACGACTTATTTTGTCAGATCATTTTGCGAGGTCAAGAAAACCCTATTAAATTTTCACTACCTGCCAACCGTTATTTAGACACTTGATCCACTGTTTGTAGGAACGTGTCATTTTGAATGAACGCAAGTTTGCTTCCTTATTATCCATTTATTCCCTTACCAGTAGAATACACCAACAATCATTCACTTGAATAGGCTGGCGGTTTTGGTTATCATCGGTTATTTTTCTCTCCTATCAGTTCTGGTGTGATTAATCATCGAGAGTTCGGGACACTTAATTAGTTATAGCGATAAACACATTATCAAAGTGACTGGTATCTTGGACGTTGGACATTCTCAACTGGAATTGTCACCACCTTTAAAGAAGGAGACTACGAATATACACACGGTTAGCAGGTTGATATCGTTTGGAGTTCAATTGCGGAAGAAACTTCAACAGCATTAACGACTGTATTGCAGTAATCAATACCAAGATTTGACTTGATAATTTCGAATAAATTGATCACTACTAGTTAACTAACATCATACAATTTAAGAGTCTTATGAATTTAAATCACAAACATAGGAATTAAACATGGGAAAGACTGTAATCATGGTAAGCTATGGTGTTGTAGCACTATACACTATTATCAGTGGTTTTCTAAAGTACGACAATGCGCTTCCTGACAGATATCCATCAAGCATTAGTCTGATCATGAAATCCTTAAAACTTTGCTTAAATTAGACACTGTTTGCTTTTAACGGGATGGTATACAAACAAACTAACGATGTAGCAGTTGGATCCTCAATGTACCTAATTGTAGCCAAACTCTTTATGGCACACACAGAATTGAATATTTTCGCAAACGACAATAACCCACGAATTTGGCTGAGATGACGCCTTTGTTGTGATAAAGTATCATGAAAATAATTCACCATGGTGGCTAGCAATGGAATTCAGAACTAGTGTCTCATCCTAATTTACAATCGTTATTCGGGTGTACCTGCATACCGTAGTTTTCTCCACTGCCGGATTTAAAACTACCGTTGTTTGACTCAAATGCCATCGCGTTATTCACTGATAGACACTAACATGTGCTAACGGGATAAGTTTAAATTCGATTATTCTTGTTAATTTGAATCTTCTCATTGATGTTTAGGATTGCAACTAATCAGTCTCTAATCGGCTTATGCGCATTCTGCGCTCATCGCCCCTGATTATTACAAGTTCTCTCTCTCCCAATTTCTCAAAATGGTTTTATAATCAAATAAGAAAGAACAAACAAAGTATTCTTGAATGAAGTCAGTTTGAATTGATAAATTTTATTACCATTATCCCATCAATAATTATCCACTAAAGACGCATCTAACAACTGTCCAGTCAAAATCACAGAACTAGTGTGAAATGAACTGAGGTTGACAGAATCCGCGAAACGGAAACATCCATCAATTTATTGGTTAGAATACACCAATTTGAATGGATTTACTCGGAACATCATAATTCCAGATGGATTGATTGAAATTGTAAAGTTCTCTGTCAATCCAACATCTTTGAATCTATCACCAGTGAATACATCCAGCAATTCGAACTTATCTCCCGATATTGAATACATCTGTGATTTGAATTCATCAAGATTTGTGCTGAAGGTAATTGGTCCTCCATCAACCTTCGTGTAGATGCAAGCGATTGCCCAACCGATTGGACAGTCATCTAATTTTCGTATCCACAACTGTATGGGAAGAAATATGTGAACAAATGAATGTATCTTGTTGATATTACTGACATCGGCAAATAACAATTATATTTCATCTCGTGATATTTGCCGATAGTAAGAACTAGAAAAAAAAAACGCAGAACTGAATGGGTAGTGTCGTGCAATTTGGAATCTGCATAGTGTCTTGGATAGCGTCGGATGAACAGTCATCTACATTACCAGATGACAACGGTTACCAGTATGTCGGATAGGCTCATATTGAATTGTCTTCCGAAATAGATATTGTTGACTGTCCGACTAACAGTACATATATTATCTGATAAAATAATGAGAAGTCATATTATATTGCTGAATCTATTGTAGACGTCGCAGCTCACTAACTAGCCTACGTATCCGTCAATCACAATTTACTGATTTCCGCTGTATGTGGTTGAAGTTATTCAGAAGAAAGCCATGAATATGGTTTCAGATTGCATAGTTCAATTATGATATCACTTGCTGTGACAGTACAACAGAGCGAAAAATATCTCGACAAATTTGAGGGAGAATTTAGAACTGAAAATCGGTGAAGACACTTAAATTCAAAAGTGCTGAACTGATCGTATCAAATTTGAACATTTCACTAGTTCCGTGTTAATTTAAATTGTTGAATCGGAACATCTGTCTTCGAAGACAGTCGTCATAATTTTGTGATTACACTAGAAAGAAGGAACGATGACAACTGAAAATATTACCGATTCAGTGATTTAAGTCGTTTTAACTACATTTCGATATTGAAATACTTAGAGCGACACTATCAACAACTCCACAAACAATGTTTATTTCTGTGCTGGTTTGCTGTACGTTAAATATCGAAGCTTCAACAGATTGGCGAAACGGATTCAACTGACGAAAGTCTTACACATAGACAGCAATTGCTTTAATAAAGTTGAAGCGAAGTTTCATGGTATTGAGTCAGAAAGAAAAGTATTTCAAGACCTGTGCATGAGGATTCAAATGTAATGCTATCAACTCACCTGTACATCATTTCGTGATTTGACGAATTCCGCCTGATGTCCACCTCTATCCTGATCTATCGCCAACAAATGTTTATTGCGTAACAGAGATGCACTGAATTGATCCACCTTATCCATGTCAGCTGAGATCACTAGTGGAGCAGCAAACATACACGACATGCCCATATGAACTCGCTTTTGATCATTCGAAAGTCCGTTGTTTCCCAAAACTAACATATCGGGATCGTTGTAAATTCCTGGACCAGCTATTTTCGGTAGAACATCGTTGCGTAGTCTATATCCATCTATAATACTGAATACAGATTCCCAACTTCTTTGTGAATTGGGCAGAGCACGAACTAGATTGCAGTTGTTCTGTAGTCGCTTCCAGTCAATCGATTTAGGGTTTGCATACCATGAATTATATAGAGGATAAGTACACAAGAACACCACAGGTCTTCCAGTTGCATTAAGTAGTCGGGAGAATTTTTCAAAACCATCAGGCATCATGTGATCAGGGCTGTTACACGAGTTCATCTTCACGTAATCCACTTCCCAGTCAGCCATAGTCTTTGCATCCAATTCGAGAAAGTTTATACTACCTGGATAACCTGAACAAGTCCGAGTTCCATAACCAATAGTTACTCCAAACAGTAGATTTTTCGAATGCAAATATTGTCCAAGGCCTTTCATACCCTGAAAGTGCAACGCATCATAGAGATTAGCAAACAGAATTTGTAAGTATCAATGATTATTTTAGCGAAAACTCTACATGGTTCACACACACACACACACTAGAATACCATCATATTGCAGGTCTCACAAACACAAAGCTAATATACTCTCGATAATCCGATATTGCTCAAAATGAATGCGAATATTGTGCACATTTTCCAGACACTACACGCATGAACTTACGCTCGGAAATCTTGAAGGATCTGCCATAATACCATTGGTCTTCGGATCACGTTGTCCGGCTAGCCAACAATCATCGAGTATTACATATTTATAACCCAAATCTCGCCAACCATCCGACACCAGTTTATCAGCTGTTCGTTTGATTGCATTCTCATTAAGACAGTTATTTGGATATTTCTGGCAATCCAACTGACATCCAAATGCTAGCCATGAGTTCCATCCCATTGGTGGTGTTCTAGCCAACCCATTGTCAAGACACATCACACAATTCAGAGTGAAGATGACTACTCCCGAAACTATCGTTAGCACTGTAAACATATCAGCTAAATAGTAAAAATGATGAGTTATTAAGTAACAAATGACTGGAGTGTAATTTCATTGAGGTGTATATCAATGCCAAACATCGTTTTATCTGAGCATAATCAACAAATTCATCTCATCAAAACAATGTCCTTTGATATGCGAACTCTTCCGACACGCATCAGATCCGCGTATATCATTCAATTCACGAGTTTGAAAATCTGAATGTCAAATGTGTACACCAAAACGTCCCTAATCAACGGTCATAATCTCATCTCACGCCTAAGTTGCGACACTAAAGTTAGGCACTTGCACAAATGATTCGATCGGAGACGTACGAACTCGTCATTTATCCCACAATTTCCATGTGATACACTCAGTGCGAATATAACCCAGAAAAATTCAGAACACCTATGAAAGCGTTGAATTCAGTGGAACCGACAGAACCCAATCTGTAAATTAAACCTCACCTCATAATCATTCATACCAAGCATTTGCTCTTTGCCAACACGAATTTATTCTAGCGGCTGGATTCATGGGTTGATCTAAGCTAGATCATCATTGCAAACGTGGAAGCATTGGACGACCGTTCCGCCTTTTATGAGACTCCTCAACATTGCGCATCCACGACCCCATTCATAATCATTTTTACTTTTACCCAATAATTTATATGATCGCTATTATCCATGCTATTGTAAGCATTAATCTAAATATGGCAAGCACATTGAGAACTTATTTGGCACACTCGTGATTTACCTGTCTCTTCATCAAAACATATCGTTACAGAGCTTAATAGAGATTGTAAAATTTTCAGTCAAATACACGAAATGATCCCAGATAGATCACTGCTGAAAGCCGAGAATCACTATTTCACTGGTTTGTCTTAACACGAGACTATTCAGCATTGATTTGCATTTACGACCCAGCCACACAAAACGGAACTTACAACGTTCGGTCACATGTGAGAATGTGACAAGATTTTTGATGTCATTTCATGATTTCTCGCGGAAAGCCATGGGAGGCAGAACTCAGCAATATCAAATGTAGGATGCCTATCTGTCACAGATGATTGCACCTGATTGTGAGTTGATCACAATCAAACATTTACACCAGTCCAAGATAGTTCAGTAGTTTACAGGTTAGGCCTGAAAATACGTGATTGAGGTTCTTGAGCTCGATTACCAATAAAATAGATATTGTTAATTTTCTCACCCTACCCTACCTATATTGATATACATGAAACCATTTACTTAGTATATCTATCTAAATTATCACTGTAAACTACTTTTCCCGAGATGAACAATTTCACTTCATCTTACAAGCAGGTAATCCGTGCATATCATAATTGGCAAACAGTGATTCTCCCACAACGAGGCAATGGCCTTGAATAATTAAATTCAGTGAATTACTGTGGGAACTGAGAAGAGACTGTTGAAAGAAAATATCACTTGATGTGAATGCGCTTTGAAATATCTATCAACGAATGTTCATGTCTGTCTCGATCGAACAAATATTCATGCAAAATCAAATTCTATTCAAAACGATTCACTCTAAATCATCTCGAATGACAAGACTAAGCAAAATGACAGACGCAACTGAATTGCCTTGTCCTGATTAGTGAGACAGCATAGAATGTGACAGCTTTCGTCACCAGCATCACATTCCCAGTCGAATCAACCGTATGTTCACCAGTATAAAAAGCGAAACCATGTCCACTAAAACACTTTGAAACATCCACATCTGAAGTATAAGGAACAAGTATAAAACATGCACTATCGTTGAGATACATACATACCAGAAACATTCGGTGTTCTACACTGTATATCATCAGTGGGTGATCTATTCCCCACGAATATTCATGTGGAAATATGATTGCCAGAAATAAAGCACACTTGAAATTGAAACATTACAAAAATAATATGTATAGGTCACTATCCAATTACTAATTAACACTTACATTTCATTAGAATTACCCAGTTGACTGAGTTAGGAACCGATTCGTATTTATACTCGAACGAATATGGACACAGTATTAGAATGAACTAGAAACGACCAACCAGATAAGGGCTTTGAAAATGAATATTTTGTGGAAGACAAGCAAACATATATGGAAGTGCACATGGATCTCACATGAATACTGAAGCCACTTCACGCTTCAACGAGTTATTCAATCTGCGCATACAAACAAGTCCATACGCACATCGATTGTCCGTCTTCACATAACCTCATGAGGACAGAAAGAGAATATGACGGTTCGTACCATCATTCTTCATAATGGTCATGTGTTTGGGATTAATGGATTATGTAAATTGTGTTGTGTATTTTAGTGGGGATTATAAGTTGAAATAAGTGGCGTTACGTTAGTATGTGTGTGTTTGAAGGAGTGAATGTGTTTCTTGAGAAAGATTTGTGGATGACAATTGTTTGCGAGTTCTACTCAATTTACTTGAATAGAGTTGCACATTTGTAGACTGATGGACAATCATTTGGATAACGAACAATAGATTGTGTTCATAAATCATTGGTGAAGCTGAATTAGAGACCGATGATTATGGTGAATGAGGTTAACTTAAACCTGAACATATTAAATTTTATTCATCAACACTTATGATAACGAAACATGTAATCATCTATGATATCATGAAATTATATAGTTCCGTCGGTTGAACATTTTTTCAAATTTAAATTATTTTTACTTCATTTACGAAGGATAGAACAGGAAAGATAGTAATGGAGTTTAATTCCAAGACACAATTGAGGATCGGACATATTATTCTCTATGTAAGAGTTACACGTAATCTGTTGGGAAGAAAGCAACTCTTCCGTACGTATGCCTCTCATTTCCGGCCCCAATGCTTCGAATCGTCAAAATGTGTGCATGATTTTAAAGAAGGCTCACGAAAGTAATGGAGTTTATGATCAAGGAGCAATGAGGAATTGAAAATATTGTTCTGTATGCAAATGTTTGGCTTGATCTGATGAGAAGCGATCGCCTTTACTGTACACCCGCTCTTCATTTGCATCCACACCGATCTCAAATCACCAAACTGTGTGTATGATATTTAGGGAGGCTTCTGGTCGAGTGGGATGATTAGAATATGACCAGATGCTCCAAAGTTGAGCTTTAGAATGACTTTTGTAATCCTCTAGAAATTCACACAGAGGAATCTTCAAAATACATTTCGAAAGAGCTCCTTTTCTGCGCTCGAGGTGTCTAGCTTCAAGTGAGCATGTCGATTGGAATATGTACATCGATTTGGCCCAAACTAGGAACGTATCCTTCATATATTACAGTATATTAGGTTAAGCCTGATGAGGATCTAATTGAAAACAATATTTTTCGCCTGTATATGCTGTTATTCAAGTAACTATTTATTTTATAATTTCGATTTATGTATCGCAACGGAACCAATCAGAAATAACCCTCATCTCCACTACACCCATTCCGAATTCAATTATCTCATTCGCTTCACCTTTCTGTATACTACATTATATTACTTACTACTGCTGAGTAGTTCATGTGTGATGTGGATCACTTTCCATCACATAGCTTGCTCTTCGTCTTCTCACTATTACGAGAACCCACGAAATACAGTACTTTTACTATTGTGGGTGGAGGATAGGCCTTCCTTTCTAGTTCTATCTAATTGTTGTTCATTATTCTCACGTCTGTCTCCGTTCCTTGGCGTAATGTGTTTTTTTGTCTTTATCTCCTCTTTTGGTCTTGAGGATTCCATAAGAGGGTTTGCCTTGTGACCCGTTGGGTGCTTTCCTAAAGGTGTGTTCTATACAGTTCCGGCACTTCGTCCTGATTTCTTCCTCCGCTGGGATATGCTTTGTTCTCTACCACAGTGGGTTGCTGCTGATAATATCTGGACAATGGATCCGAAGTATTTTCTGTTGAAAACACTTGTATTTTCTGGATGATTGCTTTCGTAGTTGTTGAAGTTTCCACCCCATTTAGTATAACTGTCTTGATATTTGTATTAAAAATCCTGACTGGTGTTGGTTGCCAATTATTTCGATTTCCAGATGATTTTCAGTTGTAAATGTGCTGCTCTTACTTTGTCGATTCACGCCTTTATATCCACCGTGTTCATCAATCATGCTGCTCAGATATATAAAGGTTTTTACATCTTTCGAATCTTCTCCGTCAAGTGTGATTGGATTGTTGCATTTCGTGTTGCTTCCACTTTGTGTATGTTGAGACCTTGCTGCGTTTCTTTACTTGCCATGTTCTGAGAAGTTTATAGAGTATGACGATCATAAAAAAATTCGTTAATAAGTTCATTTTCTGTGTATAAATTAACCTTGTTGTGAAGCTCTTAGTCACATTCGGAGTATCTTCCTTGTTGTTGTAATTATTTTTTTTTGAAAAAATACTTGGTTGAATGTAGAGTTTCAAAGCCACTCACAAGTGTTCAAAGAGATGGCTATACAAAACTACCCAATTTTGTCAGATTAATCAATCTTACATTCATCAAAATACTTCCTCTTCAGTTTTGGATTTTTTAGTGTTCTATTGTAAAAAAAACAATAAGCAGTAATAAATCATTTTTCTCGAGAGATCTTACAAAGTGTTTAAATGATAGTGAAGACGCCACAGGTATTTTGGAGTTTGACAACGTTTTAACCAGTAACACCTTCTACTATGAATCATACCAACCTAGTGAAATCAAAAGTCAGAAGTGAGGATGTTCGAAGATTTATTTGATAGGCTATCAATATATCGAGAAATGACTGATCTATACTGGCTAGCGATTGCAGGTAATGTTGAGCACAGAGTTCTCACTTGTGATCTGGTGCGGATACATGACTATGTGAGTCCATTAAAAATCAATGTGGTCAGCGTCTATTGTCAAAGGCTCACAGAGCTATTTAGTTTGCGGATTTATATACCGATACAAAGTATTTTCCTGCAAGTGTCATTCTTGTCTATTCTCTAGATTGTCAAGCACGGAGACTTGGTTTAGCAAAAATCAGAACAATTAAGCTATTTGACCTGATAAATTTTATCT